GATTATATGTGTATATTTATATATACTATACATATATACTTATACTTATTATATACACACACACTAGGTTGGTTCCATTTACTACGAAATTAGTTTAATTAATGACATGTTCGTACAATCATGTTTAAGTTTCAGTACTAATTCTACTTTCTTGAATGAATCTATCTAGAACGAAGATGCGTTTCCTTTGTACAGGAATTGTTTTGACAGACCACTACAGAAGATAGAGAAATCCATCAATACATCTAGTTGGTACTTTTTACTACACAGAATCCCTATAACTAGGAAGGATTTTTAAAAATGTGAGGGCACATTTTATAAAAGATGTAAAAATTAATAGCAAAATCATGAAAAAAAATCTGGATCATAGTAACTTAGAGAACAAAGGGAAGATATAGATACCTCTCATGATGTGGTAGAACACCAAGTCATGCTTAGTCCATGTGACTTTATTTTGATTTATTTTTAATTGAATGTAGTGGGGTGACAGAGGTTAATAAAAGTATATAGGCTTCAGGTGTACAATTGTATATTACACCTTCTGTATATTTCATTGTGTTCATCACCCCAAATCAGGTCCTTCCATCACTTGTAACCCCCCCAAGTCCCCTCTTTCCTCACCCCCCTTTTGGTTTAGTAATCACCATACTGTTATCAGTGCCTATGAGTTTTGGTTTTATGCTTGTGTGTGTTTCTTCTTAATCCTTTCACCTTTTTCTCCAGTCTCCAACCCCTCCCCCTGCCCTTAGCTGTCAGTCTGCTGCTCTCTGTATCAATGAGTCTATTTTTATGTTATTTGTTACTTAATTTTGTTTATTAGGTTTTACATATGAGTGAAATCATACGGTACTTGTCTCTTCTGCCTGGCTTAATTCACTTAGCATAATACTCTCCAGGTCCATCCATGCTGTTGCAAAAGGTAAGATTTCCTCCTTTTGCTGGCTGAGTATTATTCCATCATGTAAATGTTCCATAGCTTTTTTTAGCCACTCATCTACTAATGGGCACTTGGGCTGTTTCTAAATCTTGACTATTATAAATAATGCTGCAATGAACATAGGGCTGCATATATTCTTTCAAATTAGTGTTTTTGGATTCTTCAGATATATTCCCAGAAGTGGAATCGGCAACTCATTAGGCAGTTTCATTTTTAATTTTTTGAGGTAACTCTATACTGTTTTCCAGGGTGGCTGCACCAACCTGCACTCCCACCAACAGTGCACAAGGATTCCCTTTTCTCCGCATCCCCACCAATACTTGTTTGTTGACTTATTGATGATAGCCATTCTGACAGGTGTGAGGTTAAATGGAACTTATCTTTATTGTACACCCTAAGCTCCAAAAAGAAATTGACAAGGCAAGTAGCAAGAAACTAAAGTCCTGGATTCAAGACATTTGGAAACTAAAAGTCTCTGCATGTCTCCACTGTGACTGACAAGTAATATCAATTTCTTAAGAATATATTAACTATATCATTCATCCCCCCACTCTTTCTAAGATTTTTTTACATCCAATTAAAAAAATCACTTCCATCTTAATGATTCTAGCATAGTTAACATTTAAGTTTTCTGCAACACTTTCTCATGTCTTCTCATACTTAAGAGTTTAATTATATCTAGCCTCGCATTGATGGAAGTCTCTTCAAATTACTTTACACTGCAAACATTTTCATAAGAGACTTATTATGAAATCAGAAGAAATGATTTATTTTAAGAAATTATCATTTTGCCTAAGGATACTTTAATCTCTTCCCTAAGAAACAGTCATTTGAATTCAGCCTCTTTCTAAAGTCACTTGGCTGTCTCCCCACTCCTCTTTCCTTCCCTTGGTCTGTTACTGAAATTCATTCTTTTCTCTTGTTTTAACACATCAAATTTCTTCTTCATTTTCTCACTGTCTCCTTTCCGTGTTACCAGTGTCGATTTGAGAGAGATCTCAAAGACATCTCTTCAAAAGCGATCTCTTCAAAGAGACCTCTTCTAAACAAAACTTTTATGATATTTCTGGATATAAAGAGACGAGGATTGCAGTTCACTCTTCTTTCAAGAGAGAAAAATTAAGATTTTTACATACACCTGATTGCCATTTTTAGAAATTTTATAGATATACATATTTAAATGATTATAAGACCAGGAACTTTTATTACTTGTAAGTATGTCTTCACATCTTGTAAGACTCAGAAATTTAAGAATTCAACAGCCCATCCCCCTCTTATCAGAAAATTTAACATTTTAAAATATGTTTCTTTTTAAGTCCTACTCCTTCTCAAGTCATACTCTAATATGACATGGCTTTGTTACATAACTTATTGGTTGATCCTAAGTGAATAAGATTTATTCTCCGCTTTTGCTGTTAAGAGTTACAAAAATGTTTCCTTTTTTCAGATGGGATAAAATCTAATAAGAACTGACGTGTACATTAGCTTAACCCTACATTAAAATCAGTATTAAACTAAAAAAAAAATTAACAATATAGAATTAAAGGACAAGTGGATGGGTATAAACTGAATAGAAGCATGCAAGTTATTTTTCTGTTCTTAAAATGTTTGCATTGATACTTAAAAACGTACACAGGAAAGAGCAACACAGGCAGAGCAGTACAACCATTTCTATTGAGTCCACACAGCTAAGAAGCTACCCATTACTCAAGATGTGTTTGGCGAACCTGAAAGTGATTTCTCATTTTCTGGCATGAATCTCTAGCTCTTGCATTAGAAAACACACCTGTATAATTCACATGCCTCTTTTATTCTTCAAGGACAATTAACATGAGCCTGTGCAAAAGCTAACCTCTTTGTTGAATGTACTAGTACATTCCTGTATCTTGTTCAGCAAGTCATGAAGAAGTTTGTCATAATGCAGCACCACTTTCTTTTCTAACTTTCAACAAAATTTCATATCATTTTTCCTTTTGTACGAATAAGACCCATCCTTTTTACTTTTGGTAACTAGCTGTGACAATTTTAGGTCTTTTCTAACAGTTTTGAAAGTTGTGTTTAATATATATATGAGAGTTGGTCTACAACTAATTTTACTTGTGCTAGCTGATATAAGTTCCTCTTATGCCGACAGGGTGATACAACATGACACTATTTCAGTTTAGGGAAAAAAGTAGCCACCCTTTTCCATGTGTCCTGCTTATATAATAGATGACAGTCCCCACCCCTTCCATGGTTGTAGTCCTTTGAGTTACTTAGTTCCCTATCTCAGAAGAAGGCTGGGGGACAACATGTTTAACTTTTTATTATATTTAAAATCCTCTTCAGGTATCCATTCCAATCATTGGAGCAATAGCTCTATCTCTCCTAAACACCTACAAAACAACTGAGGCCTGAGCTCTAGATGAGGTCAATTTCTGGAGACTGGGGACTGGATCAGAAAAAGCCCAACAGCCGTAGTCTGCCAATGCCATGACTTGGCCAGCACACAGGGCTGCAAAGCTGCATTCTGTTCACCTGCTCTGGTCCAATTTCAAACATTCTTCCGAAGAAGGGCTGAGAGCTCTTTGCTCCAGATCAAAACATCATCATCATGTCAAGATAAAGCTATGGGCTTCCACTTTATCCATATCGTTTTCACTGTTCCATGCCAACTTCAAGGCAAGTTAAGGCAAGTTCAGAAGCTATGTGGTTAGGTGGCAATGATATGTTTAAAATATCTCGTTAATATCAGACTTTCTGAAGGAACTCGTGTTAGTTTCATTACTAGTAAAGGAAATGACCTGTGTGGGTACATTATACAGAATATCATCTGGTTGCCAACAGCAGGTTGGTTAGAAACACTACAGTTCATTCCTCTGTTTTACCCCATAACGAAGCAATAATTTTTGGTCAATTCATAATTCGCTTCATAGAAGCACAGTCATCAAATCTTCCAGGGCAACATTTTGCCTCTTTGCTTGGCATTGGGATGCAGGTAGCATTCCAATCTTTCTTACCTCTCTTTATTGTAATTAACCCCCCACCCGCACCCCCAACAAGCTGCAATATACCAGTCAATGTGAACTCATGGTAAAAAGAAACCGAGATCTATGAGGCTGCCTTCACTCCCAGCCGTTAACCATTCCAATGCCAGGTACCCAAATAGCTGTTCACTATGTTTTTTTTCTTGTTTGTTTTTCACGCGTGCAACTGCTCTCAATGATTATCAAACTTGCACCGGGATTCCTGGATTTCCACATCAAAAGTTTACAGAATCCAGGTTTCTTAGGACCCCCACCTTCTCTCTCCTCTGCTCTCCATACACATTCCCCTTTAAACTTCTACCATCCATCAGCTCTTATTTGGAGAAAAAGCAAGGGCAAGATGCCAGTGATGGGTGATCAGCCCCAGGTACCAGGAGCTGTATCACACACCTTCGGAATCAAAAAAAAACCAAACAAACAAAAAAAAAACCCAAACAAACAAAAAAGTCAAGTTCAAGTAGGTGTCTGTGTTCAAAAGCGCCCTGATAGCCCTAGCCCCTCCGCCGCTGGCACGGATCTCGCGGAGTCCACCCCCAGGCAGGGGCTACAGAAACCTAAGGGGCTTGGGTGGGCGCGTACGCCTCTCTGTCACCCTGGGTGCAACGGGCAAGGTAGTGAACCCAGGGCTGAGTTGAGGGAGCAGCCACCTAACGCAGAGAATCCGGAGCCCGCAAAAGCTCGGAGCCGGGAGTCCGCGCGGAGGGAAGTCTTGGGAAAGCGAATTCTTATTCCAACATCTGCAGCGCTTGGGATGCGCGGGCCGACGCGCGCGGTCCATCCAAACACTCCCGGGCGGGGGGGCAAGTCAGGACCGGTCCACGGCCACAGGAGGAAGCCGTGGGCGAGCCGAGGACTCCGGCCCCGGTTCCGAAAGCTCCCGCCGCACCCCTCACCCTCCAAGGAGGCCGGCGCACCGCGGCCAACCGGACCCGGGGCGCGGGGCCGCGAGGACTTAAGTTTGCCACTCACTTATCTGCCAGCATCTCCCCGCAGGAAAAGCCAGAAGGAGGAAGAAAGGGGAGAGGTGGTCTCCTTACCTCGGTCGGCTCCCACCGTCAGCACCTTGGCGATCGGCAGTAATCCCGAGAGAGTGAGGAAGGCGAGGAGGAACTCGGACATCGCGGTCGCCCGGGAGGGAAGCCTGCGCTGGAGACGGCTCGGCGGCACCCTCGGCCCCGCGGCGGCGGCGGCGGCTCGGAGCCCGGGAGGGAGCAGCGTCATTTACAAATGTCACTGGAAATGCTTCAGCTCGAGGAGCCCAGCCCGTCCGCCCGCTCCTGCCTGGAGCAGGATGTGGAAGGTGCACGGATGCGCGCGTGGGGGAGAGGGAGCGCGTGTGAGCGCGAGCGAGCGAGCGAGCCCGTGTGTCTTGACTTTTCAATGCAGGGTACGTCTGATCTTACATCACGCAAGAGGGGCAGGGAGCGGTGCCAGCGGAGGGGAGTGCGCTGATGGATCGCCGAGGCAGCCACACACCCCTTCGTCGCCCGCATCCATCACGTCTATTACTTAGTAAGAGGCATTTAACACAACAGGAAAATACCACCGCGAACGGAGAGCGCCACAAATCACGGTGATGTCGTCTCCTTGAAGGGAAAGTAACTCCACGCTGGTTCTGTAGGGATCTGAGTCTTTAGGGAAGAGGTGGGGGAGGAGGGAAGGGGTTCTGCATTGGGCTGAGCCAGCCGGGCGCCCGGGAAGCTCCGCAGTTAACGGCCAGCTGGAGATGAGCAGCTCCAGCGCCGGGCGCTTCTCTCCGCCAAGCAGTTTTGAGCCGCTGGTTCCGTGGCAGCCTCCTTCCCGGGAAGGAAGGACAAGCCAAGTAACGGAGCTTCTCTTGGGGAGATGGTTTCCACCGCTAGACGCACCAACGCCACGCTTTGCACATTGCAGTTTTAACTTTTGTGCTGAGTAGCCCCTGGGGACAAAGATGCAAAATGTAGTGACTCAGCAGAAGCAACCAAACAAGCCCCCAAAGTCACAATGTATTGCAGGAGAAGGAAGGTGAATGGGAAGAGATTCCCTAAGCAGGGGCCACAGAGCACGGAATGGGCAGTTTGTTTTGGAGCAGATTTCTCTCTTTAAAAGGGTACCTTACACCGTTTTCAACATGGGAGGATTTTTTTTATTGTTGTTTTGTGTGTGTGTGTGTGTGTGTGTGTGTGTGTGTGTGTGTGTGTTCTTTTCCCACATACTACAGCTGTGGTTTAAAACTTTCCCAAACCATCCGAGGCACCAAAATGAATCAATGGGAAAAAAATTTTTAAGTGATTTGAATGACCACTGAAGTTTTAAAATATGATCACCCAAGTACCTAAAATTTTAGGTGGCTGTTGAAAAATGGCTAAGGAGTTAAAAATCAGAAATCCTGAGTCGAAGGCTTATTTTTCCCTTCTAACATCAATAATCCTTGCCTAAGAACAAGGTTGAAAAATGTATATAACATTTTAAGGGAAAATTATAAGGAAAAAATAATACCAAGCAACAAGAAGATTGAAAGGCAAAGGGAAGATATTTTAAACACTTTATTCGGTTTCCTGGTTGAGACTGATAGTAGATGAATGCCAAGCTGTTTATGAGTAAAATTATCCAGAAACATCTCTGAATGCTCCTTCAAGGCCAATAAAATTAGACTGGTTCAAAGGACACCGGGGTGACTCTGAGGGACATTGCTACCAATCTGTGAATTTCACCTTTTCATACTTACTCTGTGATTAGGAAATGTCTTCTATGCCCATTTTTATATATTTTAAATTTTCAAGTTTATTTTCCCTTGTAAGTCAAATAATTTACTATCTATAAGATGACTCCTCCCACATTTAAAAAAGATATTTTTCTTTCTAAAGTTGTCATACATCTCATATAACCTAGTCATTTTTATTTTTTTAAGTAAAATATAATACATAGAAAACTAAAGAGAAATGTTTTTCCTATTTTCATATTAAAATTTCACAAACTTTGGAATGAGTGGCGGAGTTAATAATGTGAGGGAGGGGAGAGGAAGAGTGAGTTTTGAATGATGCACGAAGTAATAAATATCTATTCCACAATGCACTGACCTCTGCAGTCTATGAAACACTTATCCTTTCATCAGGACAAACTGAGCAGGTATTGTTCTGACAGTATCCCATTCAATCAACTGGGAGGACAACTATTAGGTAATCCATATCCACTTAAGTCTTGACAATAAAATGAGGAGTGCTTACAAACCAGAGTTTTCTCCTTTCGTAACATTTATCACCAATTACCATCATTCACCCACCCATCTCAAAAATCACAAGGAAGAGAAAAGCAGTCAGGCACAGTACAACCAAGCCAAGACCCTTCTTATGGTACCAAAAGTACCATAACTGAAAATCAGTGACTCATTCACTTCTGCAGTATCTGTAGCAACCCTAGATTTCACTGTCAACTCTTACAAGAGTTGCTACCTTCTAACTATGTAGTGCCTCCTAATGAGTTAGGCAGAGTAAAAACCATGTGATAACTTTCAGATCATATGGTTAACTTTTTAACTGCTCTGAACGGAAGAAAAATAAGGATGTGTTGTCCACACGTTGTGATCAGAATAAGAACGCAAAATAAAATTTCTTTTTAGTAATTATCAATCAAATCACCTACTGAATAACACTTGACTGAAAATAGTGGTATCAAATAGTGGTAACAATAATGGAAGCTTGCGAATGAATGATGGGAACTTGTATTTAATGTCAACTGTAAATGATTCTCAATTTTATCAACAAAATATAATTTAGGACTTATTTTAAGAATGTGAATAGATGTTATTAACAAAGACCTGAGGGTATACAAACTGTCTACAACAATTTAGTGGCAGAAAGAATGCTTAGGTATGTACAGTGGTCACAACATAGGCACTTACTGATAAATGCATGTCAAGCAGGTTTTTAAGACAAAAATTATAATAAGGACATTGGTTCACACCACAAAGTCATAATGATACATAATAAAGAGATTAGAAGTTAAACTTAATAGATACATATTTGTTCCAAAACTGATATAAAGGACAGTATTAAAATAAAACTGGATAAAATTCTCCCAAATCAAATCATTTGTATAATGGTGGTTCTTACTTAAAAAAAAAATGGAAAATGACGAGTTCATCAAAAGAGATAGTTGTTTTGTTTTGTTTTATGGACATCAATGAGGTCAGTAAAGGTATAGGCCCAATTTGAGTTTTAAAATTAAATAATTTATTTCTAGGTTTTGAATGATCATCAGTTATAATGGACTATAAATAAAAGGGAAAACATAAGTATAATTTTCTATGAAATACTGCTATTTTTCATTATATATGCTTTAATAAAAAAGAAAATAAAGTTATATACGTGATCAGTTAGTGAAGAGAGAATAGCTGGAGCTACTGTTCAAATTCTGTTTGTTTCTATGGCCCATTATAATTTCTTTATTCTAATCAGAGTTATTAACACTGACAAGTTAAATAAATTAATTCATCAAACTATAGAATGTTATGAACTCTCATTGAGATAAATTAAACAAAATAGAACCAATTGTTCTTACTTTCTGTTCTAACACAACATGTGAATATTATTAGCCAGAGGTAATCTTAAACTTCCCAATTAGAACCACACTTTATGTACATGTGATCAAATATCAGATTTCATTTCTTCTAACTTAATTTCTTGTGCTGTTGGGAGGGGGCTGGCGGGGGGCAGTTTACCATAGGGAGTAACAATCCATCCACTGCCCACCTACCTGAAAGTCTCCTTAGGAGCCGGGCGTGTATCTAAAAAAACCAAGACTGACAGTGTCTCATAGAAGTGATGTGGTCAAGGAGAATTGGCCTGAAATCAGGTTGCTAGGAGTTTGTGCAGCTGTCATTCTAAGGGCTGCTAGATTTCTTACTCCTTCCCTCACAGAAAAGTTGCCAGGCAGCAGCAGACACAGGATGAGAAAGAAGGGGATGGGGGTGGAGGTTGAGAATTGTTAAAGAAACATTATCAGTGCTTTAACATTGAATCGAAGATAGTGAACAAAGCTCCTAAGAACAGGAACATACAAAAAAAACAACAAAACAACTTTTAGTTTCATTTTATTTATCAACCCGCAGTATTTTGATGCACATTTTTACCTTCTTTCCTTCTAAAGAGTGCTGTAACTGTGCGGTAGCATGCTGTTTCAATAGGTATATGGAGAATTTAGTTGAGATATATAGGATTTTGGTGCAACTTTAATTGCCACGATTTGCGAAGTATTAGCAGGTATGTATACCTATAAAGAAAATGAAGGATGATGCAATTATCTATTTAAACCTGGAAAATAAAATTATTTTCAGCAAATTAAGTTTTACCTTTTATCTCAATCTCAGCTTATGTACTGTCAATATCGTTAGATGTTTTAAAATACATATTACAGTGAAAGGCACAACTGATAGTGAATTATAACTTTCAAAAGGTAAAAAATAAAAACTCAACGCAGATTTGATTGGTTTACATTTTCTCTGACTTTGATAAGCTTTTTTAATCTTTATTGTTGAATGTATTATGAGTCCCCTTTTTTCCCCATTGACCTCTTCTAACCCCCTACACACCCCCCTCCAGGCCTTTGCCACTCTATTGTCGATGCCCATGGGTTATGCATATATGCATACATGTTCTTTGGTTGATCTCTTCCCACCCACCAATCCACCCACCTCACCTCCCACCCCCACCTTCCCTCCAAGATTCATCAGTCTACTAGTCTCTGGCCTACAAGGTCAGATAGCTAAGTTTATCTCCCCCACTATTCAACCAGGCTAGAAAGCAAAGTTACTTTTTCAAAATAAGAGGCTGTCCAAAGAATAGAGAATTCCAAACAGTAGTGTTACAGAATAGGGGTTTTCCTTCACACCATAATAATGGTACAGTCTCAAGAGACAAATAGTATTTTGATTTTGGGGTTCTGGATATGTCTTCAGAAGGCACAATCAGTAATAATGCAATCCAGTCATGCGTTGGTGGAGGGAGGGTAATACAGAAATGCCTAAAACTGGTCAAATCCTGTCACTCTACTTGTGCGGAAAGAGCCCTTGAGTTTCAAGTCAGTCGCTGATTAAATGCTTGTTGGTGGCACTTTTTGACAGTCAAGATGATCTCCACATCCCCACCTCCAGCTGCTAGAACAGGGTTAGTGTTCCATGCTGGGGGTTGTCTGTCAGTGGCCCATGGCCAGCAGCACTTTGTCTGACCATGTATGCCCTTGAGTCTTTTTTCTAGCTGCCAATAGTGATCTCTGTCCTTTTGGTCATCATCTTTCTGCTTCTTAATTTCTGTTAGATACTCTTAGATTGCTGGAGCTGGATGGAACATTCAAATCATCCTTTCTGATTTACCACATTTTACAGAGAGAAAAACTTAAAGACAGGAAAGGTGAGAACTCTGAGGTCACACATTTTCTTTTTCTCAGAAACAGGTCTTGAATACAGTTTTCTGACTCTACCCTATATTATTTAGTGAGCTTCATTGATGTTTCTTTAGATTTTTCATAGCTCAGAGGGGTGATCGCCCAGGGGTTTGAATTTGTTCATTCACTTAATAGCCATATACTATGTAAAAGCCACTGCACTCAGCACCATGCAAATAACTATGAAGAAAATAGACACTGCTCTTGAACTAGCAAAGCTTACAATTGAAATCAAATGTCATTTTGTGCTAATGGTCAGCCTTCCCAGAATCTCCGGGGAACCATGTTTTTTATAAACCAAAGATATATTTGACACATAACGGCACTGCTGAGACCACAAAATAAAACTGGGGCTGCGTCTTTCTTGGAAGAGATCTGTACGGATAAACCTTTGCAAAGAAACCCGAGTCTTCTGTTAGAATTTGATTCTGAATAAGAAATCACAAAACATATACTTAAATATCTTGAAGGTTGGTACCAGCAATTGGTCAACTATTGCATCGTACCTCCTTTGATATAGAACTGGGTAGTAGATTCAGAAATATTCAGAATTCAAAACAATGAGAAATGTTGTCAGTGTAACGTACAGATTAATCTGAGCCAGTGAATTCTGTTGTGTTGTGTATTCAAATGGAATCAGAGGACACAAAGGGACATTGAGAGAGTCTTGTTCAACTTTACTCATTTACTT